CTGGGGCTTAGTGCAGAGCTACTTCAATGAGGATCCTGTTTCCTCTAAGGGAATCCCCAGAACCTAGATTCATGGCCAGAGGGGTACATGGCCTCTTCCCTCAGATGTCTTTACCATCGAGTATCTCCTGGGTATCAGAGCTGGTCAGTCCCACATGGGATGGGGAAGACAGATGTGCTGAGATACCTGTGGCCAAGGGAGCCCACAGGGTTCTGGTCTCCATGCGGGACTGAACCCACACTGGTTCCAGACCTGTCCAGCAGCGCCCCCTCCTGGAAGAAGACAGCATCTCCCAGGACCTGTTTCCAAATCTCAGGATGTTACTAGCTAGCTCTTTCTCAGGTCAAAATAAACTATTTCCAGGACAGTAAAAATGCAGTTAGCTTTGCTCATCAGATACAGCAACCAGAAGAGAACTTCCAGAATACCTGTTGCTTATTCTTCAACCTCCAGCCAAATCCAGGACTGTTTTCACCAAATCCAGAACTGTTTTCACCCAGACAGTGGCAGCCGCTTCCTTTCCTGTTCTGCCCGTCACCCTGCCAGCCAAGCAGCCTCTCCTGAACGTCACGCCAAGATCCCTCCCTGTCCACACCCCTCTTCCTCACCCCCGGACTTGCCCAACCTGGTTTCCATATGGCCATGCCCTCCACTGCAGCCACACTAAGCAGCCCTCCTGCAGAGGTGGCAGCTTCCATACTAACAGGGCTTTGTCCCTGGCACGTCCTCTTCCTGGAAGGCACCACCTCTCTCTCTCAGGAGTCAGCTGGAGGACTGCCTGGTCACCACTTCTGCCCTCGGCAAAGTAGCCACTCCCCAACCTGTGGTCCCACAGCCTTGGTCCTCAGTTGCACTGAGGTTGCATCTCCCTCCCTCCCTCCCTCTCTCTTTTTTCTTTCTTTCTTTCTCTCTGTCTTTCTTTCTTTTTCTTTTCTTTCTCTCTCTCTCTCTCCCCCTTCCTTCCTTCCTTTATTCCCTCCCTCCCTCCCTCCCTTCCTTCCTCCCTTCCTTCCTTTATTCCCTCCCTCCCTCCATTCCTCTTTCCCTCTCTCCCTCCCCTCCCCTCCCCTTCTCTTCCCTATCCTCCCCTTCCCTTCCCTTCCCTCCTTTCTTTTCTTGACAGAGTCTCACTCTGTCACCCAGGCCAAAGTGCAGTGGCATCACCTTGGCTCACAGCCACCTCCACCTCCCGGGTTCAAGCGATTCTCCTGCCTCAGCCTCCCAAGTTGCTGGGACTGCAGGTGCCCGCCACCACACCTGGCTAATTTGGCGGGGGGGGGGGTTGTTTGCTTTTGAGACGGAGTTTCGCTCTTGTTGCCTAGGCTGGAGTGGAGTGGCGTGATCTCGGCTCACTGCAACCTCCACCCCCCTGGTTCAAGCAATTCTCCTGCCTCAGCCTCCCGAGTAGGTAGCTGGAATTACAGGCGCACACCACCACGTCCGACTAATTTTTTTGTATTTTTAGTAGAGACGGGGTTTCACCATGTTGGCCAGGCTGGCTGGTTTCGAACTCCTGACCTCATGATCCACCCACCTTGGCCTCCCAAAGTACTGGGATTACAGGCGTGAGCCACCGCCCCCAGCCTAATTTTTGTATTTTTAGTAGAGACGGGGTTTCACCACATTGTCCAGGCTGGTCTTGAACTTCTGGCCTAAGTGATCTGCCCCCCTCAGCCTCCCAAGGTGCTAGGATTACAGGCATGAACCACTGCACCTGGCCACTTGTTTTGAATATATAATTTCAACTTTTATTTTACATTCAGGGGGTACATGTGTAAGTTTGTTACATGTGTATACTGTGTGATGCTGAGGTTTGGGGACGATTGGTCTCATCACCCAGGTAGTGAACACAGTACTCAATAGGTTTTTTCAACACTCACCCCACCCCCTCTCTGCCCCCTCTCGTAGTCTTGTGTTTATGTTTCCCATCTTTGTGTCCATGTGTACCCAATGTGTAGCTCCCACTTGTGAGAACATGTTCTATTTGGTTTCCTGTTCCTGTGTTAATTTGCTTAGGATAGTGGTCTCAGCCGTTTCCATGTTGCTGCAACGGACACGATTTCATTCTTTTTTATGGCTGCATCATTTTTACTTCTTGAGACAGGGAAAAATGTTGCCCAGGCTGGTCTTGAACTCCCGGGCTCAAACGATCCTCCTGCCTCAGCCTCCCAAATATCTGGGACTACAGACACAGACCACCACGCCCAGCTACACATGTCTCCCTAAATCATGTAGCATTGCCCCTTTACAGCGAGCTTCTAGGAGTAGTAGGGACTTGATCCTTTCTGCAGTTCGTGCCACCCACCCTGCTTAGACAAGTCCATTGGGTAATAGGCCTCAGGAATTGCAGACTAGTTCTCCCACGATTTCTAATTCCTGCCTCGCCTGTGAGAAGAGAGGACCAGCTCTTCCTTATCAGTGCTGGCCTTGCTTACACTTCCAGCCCTGGAGGCTGCATAAAGATAGGGAGGCCTTCTGGGGTCAGGCCTTAGCCAGAGAGTCCCCAGGTCGGCAGATCCTGCACAACTGAGGACAGGGATTCCTAGATCCCAGGGTGTAGTCTCCTGCAAGGCCACAAAAAAAAAGGCCTCTGCCTTCCCAACCATAAAGCGAGGAGGTTAAGAAAAAAAAACTTGGCTGGGTGTGTTGGCTCATGCCTGTAATCCCAGCACTTTGGGAGGCCAAGGAGGGAGGATTGCTTGGGGTCCAGAGTTTGAAAAAAAAAAGAGGAACACAGACCCTATCTCCACAAAAAAATTTTTTGAAAAAAAAAGGTGGCTCACATTTGTAATCCTTGAGTCCGGGAGGTGGAAAAAAAAATGAGCCAAGATTGTGCCACTGCACTCCAGCCTGGGTGAAAAAAAAAAACCCTGTCTCAAAGAAAAAAAAAACATCCTGACCCCATAAAAAAAAATGGGGCCAGTGAGCCCCCAAGTGACCCTGTCAAAGGAGAAAAAAAAATGGGATGATGCCAGAAAGGGGACCCTGCTTTTCCCACCAAAAAAAAACCATCCCACTTCCTCCAGTGACCTTGCCAGGCCATATTAAAAAAAAACTACACATGACTGTGTCCTCGGGATGACCTCAGCCTTTCAGATTCCGGCATGTCCCTCTCTGCAACTTCCTCCACCCTCACTTCGGTCTCATCACCTTGGTGCCTTTTAGGGAGCCCTCTGGCTTGGTGGATAAAAAAAAATGAGATGTGCCCTTAGGGAGCTCACAATCTAGCCCTGAAAAAAAAAAAAACCCACATGATAGTAGTATGTAGGTGCTACAATGCAAAAAAAAAAGGCATGCTGTCTGCCTCCCCAGGAAGCAGGGTTTTGTTAAAAAAAAATTTTGTTTTTTTTTTTTTTGAGACGGAGTCTCGCTCTAAAAAAAAAACTGGAGTGCTGTGGCCGGATCTCAGCTCACTGCAAGCTAAAAAAAAAGGGTTCACGCCATTCTCCTGCCTCAGCCTCCCGAGTAGAAAAAAAAACAGGCGCCCGCCACCTCGCCCGGCTAGTTTTTTGTATTAAAAAAAAAAGACGGGGTTTCACCGGGTTAGCCAGGATGGTCTCGATAAAAAAAAATTGTGATCCACCCGTCTCGGCCTCCCAAAGTGCTGGGATTACAGGCTTGAGCCACCGCGCCCGGCCGGAAGCAGGGTTTTCAAAGGTGTATGTGCACTAGCCAGGGGGAGAGGTGGGAATAAAGGCATTTTAAAAAAAAAAAACCCCACATGCACAGAGTAAAGGGAGGAAAAGGTGTAAAAAAAAAAGGAATTACAGGAAGCCACTGAGTTCTAAGGTAGCTGGGGCAAGAGAAGGGGAATCTCAAGGGGGAGTGACACCATCAGGGGCTCAAAAAAAAAAGTCGCAGGGCCACTGGATGGATCTGTGGGCCAAGGGATAAAAAAAAAGGAGACCAGTGAGGCTGTCACCTGGAGATGACAGTGGTCCAGGCAACGGTGCTGACTGTGGGGTCCGAGAGGTTCTCAGCCTGAAAAAAAAAAATCACTGGCCTCAATGTCTGCTTAGCTTGTAAGAATCAGAAAAAAAAAAACAGGATGGAGTCTGGGGTGACATCCAAGATTCTAGCAAAAAAAAATGCGCAGATGAGATACAGGAGGAAAAGCCAGTTGGAGGGAGGGGAAATTATCTATGAACTTGAAATTCCCTGTGTCTGTTTGCGGTGTCCAAGGAACACACAGGAGGCCCAGGATGTGCAGTTTCCAAAATGAAAAAAAAAGGCTGGCTCTGGCAGCAGACATCCCTGCTGGTTGGACACAGTTGTCATCCAGTGGCTTGGCCTCAGGGCCCCAGATGCACTTACTAAAAAAAAACACCCCTGCCTGTCAGGAAAACATCACTGATGCCCTGTAAAAAAAAACCAGGGGCTACTCCATGGACAAGGTCCGGTCCAGCTATAAAAAAAAAATGAGTGGAAAACATCCCAAAGCTGTCACTCCGGCGACAAAAAAAAAAACTCTGAGCTACCTCCTAGGAGGATCCTAAGTTTTGAAAAAAAAAAGGTGAAACCAAATGCAGGCCCTTCCCCAGGAGACAAAGAAAAAAAAAAAACACCTGCTTCCCATGACCCTACAGACCCTTTCTTTCCTCTGCTCCAAGTTCCTCCTTCTCACTTCCCTCTTCATCACCCAGTAAAAAAAAAGACCCTCAGATTCACCTAAACACACAGTACCAGGTCCAAAAAAAAAAAGTGAGGCATGGGGTGACACAAAGGCATCTGTCATTGTAAAAAAAAAAGGAGATGCACATGACCATTCAGGCCTCAAACCCTGCAAAAAAAAAACCTCCATCCTCTTTCCCAGTTCAGGAAACCTATCCGGGAAAAAAAAAAGTCTTTGAAAAAGAAAAATATTTATTTTCAGCAAGCCAAAAAAAAAAAGTGGGGGCAGGTGCCAAATTTGCCACCTCCACCAGAGGGCCTAGGCCCACAGGAAGCCTGAAGCCAAATTCAGGCATGGAAGGAAAAAAAAAACCAGTGGGGCGGGACAGTCACTTGTACTGAGGAGAGAAAAAAAAAACAAGCGGAGCAGTGCAGACACTCAGCATCTTGTCGATGAAAAAAAAAGTTGACTTATCCACCTCAGCCTTGTGGTGGTCACTCACAAAAAAAAAGGGCAAGCCCCCAGCCTCCTCTCCAGCCTCCTCTCCGAAAAAAAAAAGAGCATGGATGGGGGTCACTAATGGACGGGGACAGGGCAAAGCGAGGCCTGGGCCCAGCTCACCTGCCAAGGGCAGCAAGGCCTGAAAAAAAAACACACCTGCCTCCTCGGGAACCAGGGCCAGCTCTGCCTAAAAAAAAACCTCGGCCTCCCCGTCCCCCTCCCCTGCCTGGTTCAGCAAAAAAAAACAATAGTTGATGTACTGGTACAGGGGTCGCAGGCGCTGGGCCTTTCCTGCAAAGACCCAGGGCAGGGCAGAGGCTAGAGCGCCAGAAAAAAAAATGTCGGGCCCCACAGGGAGAAGGAACAGCCCAGGGACTAAAAAAAAAGCTCCAGCCCCAATGTCTCTAAGGGTGCAGACACCGTGAAAAAAAAAGCGTGGAGCACGGGAGCCCCCAGGCTCTTGCGCTTCTTAAAAAAAAAGTGCTGTTTGGCAGATGGTGAGGGCTCACTCTGGCTGCAAAAAAAAACCTCCTCCTGCAGCGGCAGCCTGGGTGGCAGCTCAGCTTCAGCCTTGGGATGGGCACGAAGGCCCGGGAGGCTGAGGGACCTGAGAAAAAAAAAAGAGACCTGACCCAGGGAATACCCCAGCCTGCCCACCGCCCCAGGACTCGACGCCTGCCCCTTTCCTGGTCGATGAGGCCCCAGGAAAAAAAAACTTAGAGGCCAGTGAGCCCAGTGCCCTACAAACCCTGAAGCTCCCACTCTCCTGCTGCTCCCTACACGGGGGCTCTGGAAGAACGAAAAAAAAAAGTGATGGTAGTGACAGGGGACAAGAATCCTTCCTGCAAAAAAAAAAGAATCAGGAATGCTACTGGGGTGTGTGCCCCAACCCCGGGCCTGCAGCTCCTTCCCCTCCTCCTCCCCCAGAGCCCCCTCACTTGAAAAAAAAACTCTTTGGACCATGACGGGGCCTCACAATGGAGACCACAAAAAAAAAGCCTCTCTCCTCTAGCGCCCCGGCTTCCGGCTTGGGCCAAAAAAAAACCAGCTTGGGTCCTTCCTCCTGGAGCTCCAGCTCCGAAAAAAAAAAAGCTGGACGCTGGTCTTCACCCTGGGTTCCGCGGGCCTCAAAAAAAAACACCAGGAAATGTTCTTCCGCCACTGGACACTAGAGGTAAAAAAAAAGCCATCGGTCACCATGGTCGGGCAAAGGACATAGGGATAAAAAAAAAAACACCTAACATTAGACACCGAAACGGGAATAAGGACAAAAAAAAAAGCCCCTCCCCGCCTGGAGGGCCCAGCCTGGCAGTTAGCGGGTCGGGGCGCTCAGAGTTCCGCCTCTCAGAGTGCTGCGGCCCCGTAAAAAAAAATTAAACAGCCTGACGGTCACCTCAGAGGTCTGAGCGCTAAAAAAAAACTCCGCGAGCTGTCCCTGCCCCACGACCGTAGCCTCCTGGACCCCCGGCCGCCTCTCCGCCCCTGCCGAGGCCATGGCTGCGCAGGCTCAGTGCATCCTCCACAGCTGCTTGGGGAGGGCCCCGAGCGGCTGGATGGTGGCCCCGCGCTGACCCTGGAGACGGGCCAGCAAGCGAGGGCAAAAAAAAAAAGCGAAACCCGCGACCGCGGAGCCCACACTCGGCGGAAACTACAAGCCCCAGGACGCTTTGCGCCAGGGTCAGTGGGCCCTGACAAAAAAAAAGGAAGCCACGGTTGCCCGGCAACAACAACTCCCGTCGGGTGGCCCCGGCTGGCGGCAAAACCTCTCGAGTGAGCGCCTGCCCGAGAAAAAAAAAGGAGAGGCCGCGAGCGGGACCGAGAAGTGGGCTGGGGGAAAAAAAAACGGAGGCGGCGAGCGAGGCCGGGGCCCAGGCAGGGACCGGCAGGGGCCCGGGAGTGACGGGCACGCCAGGGTCAGGGTCCCAGGCAAAAAAAAAGGCCCGGGGTTGGGGAAGGGGGCCCGGGGAGGGAGGTGAAAAAAAAAGCAGGCCTCGGGGCACCGTTGCTGGGCGGTGCCGGCGGAAAAAAAAAGGGCCCGTCCCGCATCTCGGGGCCCATCCCCCCAGACCAAAAAAAAAGCCCTGACTACTACCGGCGGCCGGCCTCGGGTGAGTCCGGGGGCTCGGCGGTGGTGCTAGGCTCAGGGGTCGGCCCCGGCTCCACAAAAAAAAACTGGACTCCGCCCGGCTCCGCCCCACAGCTCAAGGGCGAAAAAAAAAAAACGCGCTGAAGCTGGACTTGCTGACCTCGGACCGGGCCCTAGACGCCACCGCTCCCTGTGGCCCCCGCATCGGTCCCGGTGCGAAAAAAAAACTGGAGCGCGGCCGGCGCGGCGTCGGGGACGTGCTGTTAAAAAAAAAGGGGATCTCCCTAGGTCCTGGGGCCTCTCTCAAGAGTAAAAAAAAAAAATGGAAGAAGGGGCAGAGAGGCAATGCGGGGTGGAAAGAGATCAAAAGCAGCTGCTCTTTCCGCCCTGACCTGGGCCCAGACTTAAAAAAAAATGAGTCTCAGTTTCCCCAACTATAAAAGGGGGAGAAATAAAAAAAAATCTCGAAGGAAGTGAACTGAATAAGGTAGTTCCCACGAAAAAAAAAATCTGCTTCGTGCATTTATTTATTTATTTATTTATTTATAAAAAAAAATATATTTTTTGAGACGGAGTCTCGCTCTGTCGCCCAGGAAAAAAAAAAGTGGCCGGATCTCAGCTCACTGCAAGCTCCGCCTCCCAAAAAAAAACCATTCTCCTGCCTCAGCCTCCCAAGTAGCTGGGACTAAAAAAAAAAGCCACCATGCCCAGCTAAGTTTTTTTATTTTTAGTAGAAAAAAAAAATCACCGTGTTAGCTAGGATGGTCTCGATCTCCTGACCTCGTGATCCGCCCGTTTCGGCCTCCCAAAGTGCTGGGATTAGAGGCTTAAAAAAAAACGCCCGGCCTGCTTCGTGCATTTATTACCCGTCAAATTAAAAAAAAAAGTGCCCACTGTGTGCCAGGCCATATAGGTGCTAGAACAAAAAAAAAAAGATAAGCATGAGCCATCATTGAGTCAAGGTGGGAGAAAAAAAAAAAGAGATGAATGTCATATATGAGATGATCTATGGTATACAAAAAAAAAATAATGGAGAAAATCACCCGGACGCAGTGGCTCACTCCAAAAAAAAAAGCACTTTGGGAGGCCCAGGCAGGCGGATCACTTGAGCCCAGGAGATGGAAACCAGCCTGGCCAACATGGTGAAACCCCATCTCTAAAAAAAAAACAAAAATTAGCCTGGCATGGTGGCGTGTGTCTGTAATAAAAAAAAATCAGCAGGCTGAAGTGGGAGGATCACTTGAGCTGGGGAAAAAAAAAATGCAGTGAGCTGTGATCGTGCCACTGTACTTCAGCCTGAAAAAAAAAGCGAGACACTGTCTCAAATAATAATAATAATGATGGAGAAAAAAAAACTGAAATACTACATGAGGAAGGGAACTCTTTCTGTAGGAAAAAAAAAGCAGGCCTGTGTGTGAACTAGTGGAAGTTGGATTGTGTAAAAAAAAAGTAGGGCAGAGACTGGTGGCATCTTTTCTCCAGGGAAGGACCCTAAAGACCATGAGAAGGAGAACCTGAGGCGGATCAGGGAGATAAAAAAAAACTTCAGAGAACAGGAGCGCAGCCGAGAGCATGGACAGCAAAAAAAAATGAAAGCTCTGTGGCGCTCACCCAAGTACGATAAGGTGGAGTCCCGGGTCAAGGCCCAGCTCCAGGTACCTGCTCCAGGGAGCCAAAAAAAAAATCCTTTTTGTTGGCCAACAGGCAGCTATACCCTGATCCAAAAAAAAAGGAGGGAGGGAACTAAGAGACCCTGGCTCTGCTGCAGGGCGAGGCTGGGGGGCTTCTCAGAAGTGGTGATGGCGGGGCTGATCCTAAAAAAAAAGCAGCAGTTAGTCAAGGGGACAGCAGAGGAGACCACTCAAAAAAAAAGGAACCTCACAGACCACAGGGCACGCAGCAGTGGAGATAAAAAAAAAACAGTTCACTGTGAGGAAAGAAAGGCGTGAAGTTAGGCAAAAAAAAAAGCTGGGCCCACATCAGGGGCCACAAAAGCCACTTTTCAAAAAAAAATTCTGAGGACAGTGGGAAGGGCAGGGGTATGGTGGGGGGCTCTGTCTCGGGTAGAGAGTAGCACCATCTTTCCATCCAGGGACTCAGCAGGAGGAGCAGGAGTGAGAGGAAAGGCAAGGTCACACAAATGTGAAAAAAAAAAAGCATCTGTGGGGCTCCCAGGGGGTGGGAGTGTGTCCAGGAAGCAGATGGAAATTCAGGCCTGGATCTCAGGAGTGAGACCCAGAAAAAAAAAACGATCAGGTTGAGGACAACGAGACCAAGGAAGTGACCAAAAAAAAATGAGGACTTGGAGGCCAGCCGTCAGGAACCTTGCGGGGAAAAAAAAAGGAAGCTTGGCTAGGAAGGATGAAAGAGAGTGGTAGGTAAAAAAAAACTGAGGTGGAAGGAGAGATGGTTTGTTGTTTTCTTAAAAAAAAAAAATACTCACACGTTTGTGTGCTGATGAGGACAAGTGTCTCAAAAAAAAAGAAGAGGGCCCAAGGGACACGGATGCAAAGGTCAGAAGGGCCGAGAGAGCCAGGGTTTTGCAGCTTGAGCCCCAGACCTCAGCCTAAAAAAAAACTCTGCTGTGCCCTGCCCTCCAGGAGCCTGGGCCTGCCAAAAAAAAAGAGTCTGCACACTTCCTGCGGGCGCACTCCCGCTGCGGAAAAAAAAACCCACCACCCCGTGTACCTAGTCCCCAGCCAACACCACAAAAAAAAAAAGCTAAGGTGAGAGGATGTATGGGGGCTGGATGGTGGAAAAAAAAAGTTCCCGGTGTGTGGTGGGGGTTCAGGGACACAACATAAAAAAAAAAGCCCCCACCCACGCTTGCTGTGTCCTGCAGGAGCCAGGCCTGGGGGTGGACTTCATTCGTCACAATGCACAAGCTGCGAAGAGGGAAAAAAAAAGGCATTCCCGCTCGCTGCAGGTCCTGGCACAAGTGCTAAAAAAAAAACGGCAGGCCCAGGAGCACTACAATGCCACACAGAAGGGAAAAAAAAAGCATTAGTAGGTCTCACTGCCTGACACTCAGGGTGAGGGAGACACCTGTGGAGGGCGGGAACCAACCTCTGCCCTGGGGTCATCAAAAAAAAAACTGTGTACCCACAGCTTGTTGGAGCGCAGGGACCTGTGGCAGCGGGAGGCTGAGGCTCGCAAGCAGAGCCAGCCAGACCCTGCCAAAAAAAAAAGCCACACGCGCATGCCTGAAAACCAGCGGCTGGAAACACTGACCAAGCTGCTCCAGAGTGAGTACCTGGGCAGGGAGGCTGGAGGAAAAAAAAACTGGGGACCAGGCACCCCTGCCCAACACTCACTGTTCTAAAAAAAAATGGGCCCCCTGTAGGCCAGAGCCAGCTGCTGCGTGAGCTGGTACTGCTGCCTGCCGGGGCAGACTCACTGAGAGCCCAGAGCCACAAAAAAAAACTGGATCGGAAACTGGTGCAGGTAGAGGAGGCCATCAAAAAAAAAAATCGGCCCAAAGTCTTTGTGAAGATGGATACCTGAGCCCAAAAAAAAAACGGTGGCAGGGAGCTCCATGCTGAGGATCGCCACATGGCTGCAAAGGACAGGGTCGGACCCAATCCCAGAGCAGAGGTCTGAAGAAAAAAAAAGGGGGGTGGCCAGTGTCCCTAGAGCACTCCTCCGAGCCAAAAAAAAATGCAGAAGGGCCACCCCAGCCTTTTAACCGCTTTGCCAAAAAAAAAACTTTTGTACACAGGATTTGTTTCCATAAGAGCTTTTCTAAAAAAAAAAATGCCAAGCCTGGTGGCCCTCCTGCTGCTTGATTGCAAAAAAAAAACCCCATTGTCACTCCGGACTTAGTCCAGAGCAGAAGACAAGCTGGTGGGACCAGGGAGGAGGCTGGGACTGGGACACAGAAGGACAAAAAAAAAATTTGTAGAAAAACCTTTAATGTTCCCCAGGCTGAGGGAAAAAAAAAAGCCAGCTAAAAACCCCCACTGTGAAGTCCCTGCCATGAAAAAAAAATTTGAAGTGGCATGGGGCTGCATCCTGCCTGTCAGAGGAAAAAAAAACTACCATCTTGCATGCGACTCCCCCAGCCAGAACTGGCAAAAAAAAAGTCATCCAGGGAGGGCAGAGAGCTGCGGGTACCAGGACGTCGGCAGCCAGGGTGCAGGTCCCAGCATGGGGGCCCCTGAGACAGCAAAAAAAAACTGGGAGGCTGGCGGTTCTCAATGACCAGGTCACTGCTAAAAAAAAAACTATCAGGCTCAGCAGGCCCAGGCCCTGCAGAGGGAGGACCTGTCAAACGCCCAGATGCCCCTCGCACCACGTTATTGCGCTGGAAAAAAAAATTGACAGTGACAATGAGGTTATGGCTGTTGGCGACCATAAAAAAAAACACTTGGTCCAAGGTCTTCCCGGCTACTTCAATGCCATAAAAAAAAAGGATCTCATCACTGACCGCCAGCAGCCCTGTACTCTCAAAAAAAAAACCACGTACCAGGCGGGAGATGAAGATTCCTGGAACCCGAAAAAAAAACTGGGGAGCCACACGCACACTCATGCCATCTCGGATGTAGAAGCCCAGGGGGCGGTCTGAACCATGCTTGTGCAGCCGCACCCGTAAAAAAAAATCAGGCAGTAGGTCCACATCTATGACAGATGAAACCTGGCGGAAATCTTGGGGCAGGCTGATTAGCAGGGGTGGACGGGTGCGAAAAAAAAAAACTGGCCGCAGCAGGAGCCCTTTCTTGCGCCGCTGCAGAAAAAAAAAAGCAAAAGCCAGGCCGCTGGAGTCAGCTTCTGCTGCAGAAAAAAAAAATGTTGAGATCAGAGACCTGCTCCCCAACTTGGGCTCTTAAAAAAAAAACTGTAGCTATTTCCTACCACTTGGAGGTCAAGTCAAGAAAAAAAAATGCAGAGGGTGACACGTGGGTACCCTAGGCATGGACTAAAAAAAAAAGACCTGCCCCACAGGCACCTTACCCCACAGAGGCTGCCAAAAAAAAACCTCCTCACCCCGCTTCTGCACCAATAGGCGCAGTGGTAAAAAAAAACTGGCCAGGGCCCGGTGCAGACTGTCGTCGTTGGTGAGAAAAAAAAAGTCGCCGTGAGCATCCGTATAGCCAAGTAGCACGTCCAAAAAAAAAATCTGGTGCACCGCCCGCAGCAACCGCGAGAACTCCTGGAAAAAAAAAACCGAAGCGCGGGGCAGCGCGAAGCGTCGGAACTCGGCGTCAAACTGGAAGTCGGGGTTAGAGGAGAGGAGTCAGGACAGCCTGCAAAAAAAAATCACCGCAGGCTGGCAGGGGTGGGAAAGATACCGGCTGCCGCAAAAGCGGCAGCCTTAAGCCCAGACCTCAGCTCCAGTACCAGGAAAAAAAAACAAGGTCTTCTCACCGCCCTCCAGGTACTCAGGCCACAGAGAGATCTGGAGACCAGCAGTGGAGGAAGGAAGATGGATGGGGGAAAAAAAAAAAAAATGCAGAATGGGACTTGGAAGATAGAGGGAAGAGGTAAAAAAAAACAAGGAGCTGGGAAGGGGAGAAAGAGGGAATTGGGAGCGCCTAGGGCCGAGGCCGGAGGAGCCCTTACTTTGCTCTTCACCTCGAAAAAAAAAACGGGACTGCGCGCCGGAGTCCTCTGCGGCCGGGCCATGAAAAAAAAAGGCGGGCCGGGGACGGTGCCCCAGGCGGCCCGCCGAGGAAAAAAAAAACAGCCCGGCCGGCCCGCCCGCGCCGCCCCGCCCCTGGAAAAAAAAAACGCCCCGCCTTCCCATCCGGAGCCTGACGTCAAGGGGGCAGCGAAGCAGAGTGGAACGCGGAGTCCACGTTTCCTAGGAAACGGAAAAAAAAATGGAGAGGAACCTTCCTCCGCTCTTGCGTCATCACGCTAAAAAAAAAGCGCCCCCGGAGTCTGGCGAGGAGAGCTTGGCCAATCCAAAAAAAAAGCCAAGGAAGTACCATTTATTGGACGTTGTGTGTGTGCAAAAAAAAACACTGGCCTTACAAGACCGTGCATTGTGTAGATGAGGAAAAAAAAAAATAATAAATATGTGCTGAACCCCTCGGGGGTCACACGGAAAAAAAAAGGTTTCGAGTCAACTTAACGGACGGCACTCGGCCGCAGGCCCCTGCCCTGGATCCCTCTCCAGAGACCGGACCAGCTCTTGTTCTAAAAAAAAACGGTACCACAGGCATCTTGACGAACGGCCGAAACGCCGAAAAAAAAACGGAGTGACGCCGCGATGAGAGTAAACGGGCCAGCATCCCGAGGACCAGCGGGAGTCTCCACGTAACCTCCCGAGCAGGACGCTCTCCTGCGCAGGCGCAGGGTGTACGTGGGCGGGGCCTCCTCCTCAGGCAAAAAAAAACCGAAGGCGCTTCCTCTTCCGAGGAGAGGCGGGGCCTCGGCGCCCGCGGGAAACCCGGGCGGTTTGCCTCCGCTAGGTGCAGCCGAAAAAAAAACAGGTTCGGGAAGGCTCGTCCTACGGCCCTGGATTCGAAAAAAAAAACTGGGGTCGGAGACACTCTCCAGTCCACGAGCCGGGCAGCTGCTCGAGGTGAGCCCCCACTCAGGGCCCGGAGACCGAGGCGGAGAAAAAAAAAGGTGGGATTGACGCCGCTCGCCGCCGTCAGGTACTACAAAAAAAAAAGGCCGCGGCCGCGGGCCCATCCCACGCCCCTGATGCGTAAAAAAAAAGGGCCACGCTGCTTGTGTCTGACGGGACCTACAGTGTCCGATGCCTGGTGACGCGGGAGGCCCTGGACACCTCGGACTGGTGAGAAAAAAAAAACGGCTCCGGAGGTCGGATTCCCGCAGGAGAGCGCGAGGAAAAAAAAACTTGTGTTCCGGTGGGCCCGGCAGTGAGGGTCCTGCTCGCCGCAGGGAGGAGAAGGAGTTCGGCTTCCGCGGGACAGAGGGCCGGAAAAAAAAACTGCAGGACTGCGGGGTTCATATCCAGGTCGCTGAGGGCGGCGCGGTGAGTGGTGAGACTGCCTTGGGCGGGTTACCGGGCATGAAAAAAAAAAACGATTCCTGAGACCTCCCCTTCCCCCCGAACTCCTCCAGCCCGCAGAGTTCTATCTCCAGGTGGACCGCTTCAGCCTGCTGCCCAAAAAAAAACCCCGGCTACGGGTGCCTGGTTGGTAAGTGATGCCTTCAAAAAAAAACAGCTCTCCCCACCCCAGCCTGGCCGGCGCTGGCAGAAAAAAAAAAAGTAGGAGGGCTTGGGCCCCCATTAACTACCCTTATCTTAAAAAAAAAAACCAAGACTTAGATGTTCAGAAAAAGCTCTATGACTGAAAAAAAAAAGTCTGGGGTTGGGCTCGGGGGCCACGTGTGGTTTGGTGAGGGGTTGGTGTATCTGGGTAGACAGGCTTCAGCATGGTTCCTGAGTCCTGGCCACTCTCTTCCTGTAGGGAGCACCTTTCAGAGTCCACCTCGTCCAATGCAGGTACTGTAGGGCTTGGCCAGCCGTCCTAACACCCTGAAAAAAAAACTCTCCAGCCTTAAACTCCCGCTTCCTCAATAAGCTCTAAAAAAAAATCCCCTCCCGGTCCTATCCTTTAAGCCTTGATTCATCCAAAAAAAAACTGTCCCCAGGCCTATCACTGTCCCAGCTTCTGGATGAAATGCGGGAGGATCAGGAGCATCAGGGGGCGCTGGTGTGCCTGGCTGAAAGCTGCCTGACGCTGGAGGGCCCTTGCACAGCACCCCCACTCACCAAAAAAAAAGCCTCACGATGCAAGGCCACGGTCAGTCTGGGGCTTTTAAAAAAAAATGTCAGGGTGAGGAGTTGGGCAAGGGTCATGTCCCACAAAAAAAAAAAGTAAACGGGCCTGTCCTACAGAGTTTATGTCCCACAGAAAAAAAAAGTGTACACTGTCCCCAGCTCAATGCTATGCATCTCTGAAAAAAAAAAGCTAATTCTGAGCTCTCTAGGCCCCTGTCAGAGGACACAGGGTAAGGGGGACTGGAGAGGTTGGGGGGATACCTGGGGCCCAGGTAAAAAAAAATGATAAGCCTTCCTGAACCCCCCAGGCCCTGAGCTGCCAAAAAAAAACCCAGCTCTGCAGGACCTATCTCTGACCCTCATAGCCTAAAAAAAAACACCCAGTTCCTCAGGTGAGGTGATGCATAGGTCACAGAAAAAAAAAGCCATCTGTCAGGTTCCCGGGCTGCGCGGGATGCTGTTAAAAAAAAACGGCGGGTGGGGGATGAACACGGTCCCTGCAGTCCTGTAAAAAAAAACAGGCCACTCAGCTGCTCTAAGCGGAGAGGGCTCTGCCAAAAAAAAATCCCCTCCTCCTCAGGAACCCCAGCCTTACCCGGCCACAAAAAAAAAGAGGAAAGTGGTACCAGCATCAGCCTTTTGCCTGCCCTGTCCTTGGCTGCTCCAGACCCAGGGCAGAGGAGCAGCTCCCAGCCCCAAAAAAAAATCTGCTCAACCCCTGCCCCCCTGATCCCCAGGTCCCCAAAAAAAAAACAAACCCCCAGCTCCCCACTCCAGAGCCGCACTCCCAAAAAAAAAAACCGTGGCCATGTCCCCAGTCCACACCAGGCTCTTGTGAAAAAAAAAAAGAAACCTAGCCTGGAGTTCAAGGAGTTTGTAGGGTTGCCCTGCAAGAATCAGCGGCCTTCTCCCAGGACCGGAGCTACCAAAGGAAAAAAAAAGCCCTGCCGTGTCTGGGTGAGTGTAGCCCCTCTGCAGCAAAAAAAAAGAATGAGGAAGGCCTGAGGTGGAGCTGGGAGGGAGCATGGGTAGCCTTGGATGGGGTTGGGGTCCTTGTTAGCTCTTCCCCAGACAAAAAAAAACTTTCAGGAACCCCCAAAGAGGCATCGTGATGGTTCTGCCTTCCAATATGAGTATGAGCCACCCTGCACGTCCCTCTGTGCTCAGAAAAAAAAAGCCAGGTGAGTTCCTGGGTCTGCCCCCACTCTTGGTCAAAAAAAAAAGGCTCCATTGACCTGCAGCCGTGGTTTCTTTCCAGGCTAAAAAAAAAGCTCATGGCCTGGGCCTTGCACTTTCTGATGGATCCAGAAAAAAAAACAACTCCAATGTGAGAGGTCACGCAGGACAGATACTGCAAAAAAAAATGCTTCCTTTGAGTTTTTTAATAAAATAATCTCATGCGAAAAAAAAAGAGAGGATCAGGGACTGGGGCCGCCGCCTCTTTGGTCTGTGGCTGGGGAGGGTGGGCTCCGCTCGGGGCTGGAGGGCTCTGTGGGAAAAAAAAACAGATGCTCCATTCCAAGGCCAGATCCTGTGAGGAGAGAAAAAAAAAGAGAGGAAGGTTCAGGGCTAGGCTAAGCAGTCCTGCCAAAAAAAAAACTGGCCTGGACCCCCTCTTACCTAGGCTTGGGGATGGAAAAAAAAAAAGTTTTGGCCTGCGTTTGAGGACCGGGGAGCGCTGCAGAAAAAAAAACCGTTCTAAGGGACACAGAAAGGCTTGGGATGGGTGCTAAAAAAAAAGGTCTGTCCATCCTCTGCCCCTCTCTTCCACCTCCAGTAAAAAAAAATATGCGCTCACACACACTGCTGCCTTCAGAGCATCCCTAAAAAAAAAGTCCTCACCCCTGACAGAGGCTGCTCTTCGGGACATGGAAAAAAAAATAGTTGAAAGGGCTTATTGTCAAACCCTTGCACCTGGCCTTCTGGCTCCCTGATTTCTTGAGCCCTCACACACTGGTGGCTCCCTAAAAAAAAAAAAGCCATGAAGGGAGCCCCAGAAGCCCACCCTCCCGCATCTCCTGCATTCAAGCACACGTGGAGGTGTCTCCCCTCACCAGCAGGGGCCTGGAGCTGGTCCTCATGCACAGACACTGCTCGCCGCCCTGCCAAAAAAAAACTCGGCCTCAGGTGGCCATCTGAGGGAGGCCAGGGAATCAGGGGTGTTCCAACAGCTGTCCCCACTCCAGCCCTTGCCTCCCACCAAAAAAAAACTTAGAGGAGCCGAGTTCCCAGCAGGAACTCTTCCAGCAAAAAAAAAAGGATTGGGATGGGGAATCGGGTGCCTGCCTACCTTCAAAAAAAAAACCCAAGCAAGGGTCCTCTGGGAGGCCCAGGCTGTCTCGGGAGGGGCTGGTTCTGCAGGGACTTGGGCTTTGACCAGGAGAGGGAGAAAAAAAAACATCCTGTTGGCCCCAACCACGGCTCCTGAGCTCTGCAAAAAAAAAATGCCCCAGTGTCTTCCAGGTGGCAGACTCGGGCCCCTGGCTCCCTGGGCAAGGTCTGCAGGAGGGGTCTGTGGGGAGAAGGGTGTCAGCCAAGACCTGGTCAGGTCTTGGAGATAGGTCTGAACAACGGTCTAAAAAAAAACCTGCCTGTCCCTGCTCCCCCTACCAACACACACAGTGGCCGTCACTCACCAGCAGACACAGAGTGGGTGCGGGACTTGATCGAGAAAAAAAAAGCCTCCGTGGAACTGTCCATAATGTCACCTGCAAGGCGAAAAAAAAAACTCAGGTACCAGACCTTGGAGGTGAGGGGAATAAAAAAAAAAAAAATCCCCTTCCTCCCCCAGGAGAGCAAGTGCCTTGGGGGCTGTCTGTAAGGACACCTCCCAGCGAATCTGCTGCCACATCCCAGGCTAAAAAAAAACATCTGAGCCAGCTTTCTTGATTTCGCCATCTTTGCTCAAAAAAAAACAGGGCAATCAGATTCCAGCCCTGCCCTGGCCCCAAACAAAAAAAAATTGTTCATTATTGTTCTTATAATCCAGCCACTGAATGCAAAAAAAAAACTGGACAAGAACATGGCAAACCCAGTCCAGCCCTCTTAGAACTCTTCGCACACTTCAATGTTTCTAAATTCAGGCCAACTTCATAAAAAAAAATGTTTTGTTTTGCTTTAAGATATTGAGTGGGCAAGCCTAAAAAAAAAGCACTTTGGGAGGCCGAGACGGGCGGATCACGAGGTCAAAAAAAAAAGACCGTCCTGGCGAACACGGTGAAACCCCGTCTCTACTAAAAAAAAATACAAAAAACTAGCCGGGCGAGGTGGCGGGCGCCTGTG